TTCTTAACATCGAACTTAGTAATTGATTCAATATAATCATTCCACATCATGTCAGTAGAAAAAACATGAGTCCAAGAAGGTGCAGTGAGTTGCTCTCCGAAATGTTAGCCTCCAACAAGCAGATGGAAGGCAGAAAAATAGTTAATAGAAATTATTTTCCTTTTAGAAACATTTGCTGATTAGTCAATTTATAGACCAATGAAATGATCCCGACATATCCTGTTTCTTTCTGTTTTCTTGTGGGACTTCAAATTATTAACCTCAAATTATTCTCCTTTATCTTACGCATAAAACGTTAACAAAATATCTTGTTTAGTTATTAGTACTTCAATAATTTAATGCGTAATGTTTCTTACGAGAACATTTTATGATACACTAGCAGCATGGCCCGGCGTCGCCCGTGCTTGATTCAAAAATCGTACGACTCATACAGCAATCGCTATCACTTGACTTAAAATATTTTTGCCCTTCCTTGCCTTTAAAGGAGTGCCCTTTGCCGTGTTGATGTTGCTACATGCCTTACTTCTTGCCTATCTCACACTGCGAATTTTTTCTAAGCTCTATAGTAAACATTAAATCTGTTACGAAAAAAGAACGAAACAAAATGAACACAAAACGTTCAGCTTTAAAAAAGGACTCGTAACTGGAAAAACCGAATGAAAAAAGAATGTTAACAACAAATACTTTTTTCAGACCCAACCCAGTTCTGTGGAATCAGAATCAACGTTGAGTTTAAGCAAGCGAATGAGCCAATTGGAGTAAAGTGCCATGCAGATTTAAATTTTTCCCACTTGTGAATAATGCAGCTATCGAATTTTTTTGCATGCTAGCATGCTAGTTAATATTCGTGTCAGTCAGCTGTTGGCTCTCACGCTGGCCAATAGAATTTTCCTGCCTATTCGTGGCAGCCAGCTATAGACTTTCACTCTGGTCAGTACAAAATGGCCGCAAACTACATGAAAATTTCCGTAGAAGCATGAAAAAATCGATTATTTCCACTATCGATGGGGGTTGGGAAATGCAAAGTCAGTCTTAGCCTTCCCGCTAACTTGGAGTATGTGCATGTAAATTTTGGTGCAAATCCGTCGAAAATTGCGGCCGTGCATTAGTTACACACACACACACACACACACACACACATCCTGTCTTTTATAGATAGAAATGAAATAATGGTGTTGAAAAAGAGGAATGCACAATATAATAGACAAATTGATTTGCAATGCAATATAACATTTACTAAAACAAATTAACCCAAGGAAAGATTAAAACAAGAGTTTCTTTTGCTAGAAGGAAATTGCATACACAGCGAAATTTTCATTAATGTTAGAGTGGGGACATACTGGGATGGTGTGTTTTAGTGGGAATTGTTCACAGCCCTTCTAGCTTGAGTAACCAGTTCGAAAATAGTAAAACCCGGAAAAAAGAGATAGTTACTCAAGGGTTCTCGTGTTTTTCTATTCGAGACTCACTGCTGATACCAGGTTTATTTGGGCTGCTACTGCTACTGCTACTATGTTTAAGGCACTACACTTGGTCATAAAGTTTCAGCGTAAAGGTTACAGAAACCTTTTTGTAGACTCCTCACAAACTGACCGCAACTTTACATCCTGACATTGCGAATCTGTTGCCTCGTAACATTACAAAAAGAGAAATTAGATAATAAATTCCAGGAATATATTAAAATATGAATTCATTATCAAAATAGCGATTCTCACTTAAAATAAATCCTAAAGTAAATTTGATAAATTGTCCTAAGGCGCATTGTGTTAGTGAAATGTGCCTTTCAAAAACGAACCAAAATAATCAGGCAGTCAGTTATGTGCGATGCGGGATACACGCTTAGGCGATCATGTATCTTTCGATACATGACTGACGAGGCAGATTTTTTTCCAACAGTAGATTGCCATTTCTTTCTGCCGTAGACCAGTTGCCATCCAAGGCTATAGAACACTGTCTGTCCTATTATTTACCCATTGCTGAGAGGAGAAGAAGAGGTTTCATTAGTAAATGAATGCAATAGATTCAACTGGAATTCGAACTCGGTTCTCCGATTCCTCAACCCAAGCCACTATCCATTATTCACCGTGCCTCCCCTTATTCCACCGTAAAAAATTCGTTAGTGTTGTGGGGACCTACTTACAAATGGACTCTTCCACACCTATATAGTATGGCTACCAACTCTGAGTAAAGAGAATCACCAAGTGAGGATCACCCAGTAGTAGCCATAGAGTGAGTGATTGAGTGAGTGAGTGAGGACAGCAGTGAGAGAGAGTACTCTCCAGTCCACATTTACCTTTGTACTACGTTTCCTAGAATATACTATTTAACCTTATATCCGAGTCCGTGTTATCTTTCTATGGTTCCACACCATAACACAAAGTTAACCTGGTAACTGCTCTTGAAAAGGACATCTAATCAGTGGTTAATTTGGGGCAAGAAATGACTTGTAAATTTTAACGCCTCCAAAACAAAACTGCTTTCATTTAATCACTACAGAGAACCTTTTCTGTCTGTCATCAGCAAGGCTGATGTTAAACGCTAGGAGTGAAACACTATGCCTTTTTTTGTCTCGCATTTTTCACTGACGTGAAGTGGAGCGATTATATCGAATCAACTGCCACGTCTAGTGCAAGGAAAGTTTTTTTTACAGTTTCGTACCAGAATTTTTTTTCTCGTCAGAATCCATGTTGCACATATAAATCTACCATATCTGGTCTGGTGCTCTTGCGGTGCATCTCAAGATTCATGACAAAATCCGAAGAACGGTCTGTAATGATCCTGAGCAGGCATCTCGATTTCAATCTCTTTCTCACCGACGTCACGTAGTTACCCTTTGTTTTTTCTACAAATATTTTCATGACAACTTCTCTGATGAGCATTTTTACCTGGTACCCCGACTACATGAATTTAATCGTGCTACTAGGTTGGCAACTAGGTACCATTTAACCTTATATCCGAGTCCGTGTTATCATTCTATGGTTCTACACCATAACAGTTAGAAACAAAGAAATAAGTACTAAATTGTTACGTAATATCAGTCTCCTATATTGCAGAGAATGCTGCATAATCTTCCCACAGACGATGAAGAGACTTGAAGCCACAGAAATGTGGTTCAACAGAAAGACGCTGAGAATACCATAGGCCGAACAAGGAAGCAAAAAGGACAATTATATTTAACATTAGGAAGAGACAGGTGGAATCTTTAGATCACATAATATGGAAAGAGGGCTTGGAAAATTTGATACACGTAGGACAGATTGAAGGCAAGGGGGGTATAACATAACTGACCTAGCGAGCGTGAGTAAATGCATGTCGGAACAGGTTTTAGAAGAGATAACAAAGAAGATAAAATTTATTAAGAGCTACAAGAGACAGGAAATTGAGGAGAGCCAGTATCGCCATCGCCCTGAAGAGACGCGGGACATTTTCAGCACGTCGTATCGTGACCATAACTTTGTGACAATGTAGACGATAAGCGGTCAGTTAGGGGTCAGGACAATAGTTGATTGCAAAGTAAAGTCGTCAATACATCACATATCTTTCAACCAAAATATAGCATGACTGAAACGTTGAAAGAACTTTCCGTTTTAGCTATGCCTTAGTCTGGCACAAGGTCATAAGATTAGATAATAAATATCGTCCTATCTACCAAAGGATATGCGGTAGTATAATGAGTATCGGCTTGGAGAGTGAAACTGTAGAGTTCAAATTTCAGTTATGTCTCTTGCGTTCATTTTCGCACGAATGCCCTTGCTACAAGGCATCAATTCTTCTATTTGCCCTCCAATTACGAGCTAAATAGTAGGATAGACTGCGTTTTTTAGCCTTGAATGTTTTGAATGGCAGCTATTTTAAGAGAAGGAAAACTGAATCCAAACCCAGAAGCTTCTAAGAAGCAACTCCTCGGAAAGAGTCCCGCCAGTTTTGTTTAAATTATTTGAGAGACCAGTAGAACAGGGGACGACGATGAACTTCTTTGGTTTAGTTTTGTGCCATACACGCTTAGGCAAACATCTATCTTTCCATACATGACTGACGAGGCAATTTTTTCCCACAGTAGGTTACTATATCTTTCTGACCAGTTGCCATGCAAGACAAATGGCCAGAAAGTGACCTCTTCCATCACACACACACACACACACACACATGTATATATATATCTATCTATCTATCTATCTATCTATCTATCTATATATATATATATATATATATATAAAACAAAGTGTAAACAGTTATCTTAGGACTAGTCTGATGAAGTCCGAAGGGACGAATCGCGTCACATGAAAACTTTTCCACTTTGTCACATCTTTTCCCCAAAACTTTTCTTGATATATAAAAATTTATATATCGTTAACATCGTTAACATCCTTCAGATTCTTATCACTTTAAACGTTATTTTTATTGGGTACGCATGTTTGAGTAGACGCCCCGCCCACTCATTTTTAAAACAGTATATTTATTTTCATATGACTGCCTGTATATTATTAAAGAAAAAGTGCGCCCACCGGCATGATTCGAACCTGCATCTCCTTTCTGAATGGGAAACCGTCGTCAGTTCAGTTCAGCTTTTTGTAAACACAGATAATTGAGCCAAATTAGTGTTTATTCGTATTCAATAATTGTGTGCCGGCGCAGATATTCTGTATGTGGACATTCTTCTGCGGGCACGTCTACTTCTCTTTGCCCATTACTGGTCTTAGAATTGAGGAAAACATTTCTATTTCCGATGCTCCTAGAAGTAAATAAAACAGAAATTCAAAAGTAAATAAAAAGTAAATAAAACAAACTTATGGCGCTAATGGGAGAGTTAATTAAACGAATCAGTGCGTCAGATGCTGGAGTCATGACTAACTTACTTTATGTCTTACTTTATTTCTATCGCTTTGCTTGTCAAAGAGACTGAAAAATGTGGAAGACAATCACAGACATTATCAAAGGTCAACTAAGAAGTGTTTATTACCACATGGGATTGTCCCTGTATTTACGATACGGATTTTAAGATCCTTATTAGTGAAACACAGTAGAATCAACATCTATCTATCTATCTATCTATCTATCTATCTATCTATCTATCCTAGATATGACGATAAACTACATCCGGCAGCAAGGCCTCTGATTGGGAGATTGGAGGTTTCGTGATTGGAGCGTGGAACCACATCTTAATTGCTGTTGTTTCCAGATCCACTCTGATCCAAGGTGGCATCACCTGTTAAGGTCCAAGCTATGAGAAAATAGCCAAACCTAAAAAAATAAAAAATAAAAAAGAATAAACGCAGCAGTATGAATGTAAAGGAATACATATTTGTACAAAAAGTACCAGCAATACATTTTTGTAGTAAAAATACCAACAATACATTTTATAGCAAAATGACCAGCAATACATTTTATCTGTAATTGAAGCCATAAAATTTTGTTCAAAATATTTACTTTCTAGCATTAAATAACACACAGAGTTAAAATCAGCCAAACAACCAACATAAAAGAACTCTTTCATGTCATTCATCCATATAATATCCTAAAATTGGCGTTAAACAAATAAAATAAAACAAAAATATATATCTATGAATTTAAAATCACTATCTGAGTACCTTCAACGGTTTTGGTGTAAATCCCAGGTTTGTTGGCTTTCTCCCCCAATTTCTATAAAACTGACACCATCGATAAAACTATTCACGAAATGAAACGCGGCACTTATAAAGTGTCTCCGTTTATCATTCATTTATCAAGAATTAGCTTGATATATAAATCTGCATATTCTATCTATCTATCTATCTATCTATCTATCTATCTATCTATCTGATGATATTCGACTTTGTATATACCCTGTCTCAGTCTATCTATCTATCTATCTATCTATCTATCTATCTATCTGATGATATTCGACTTTGTATATACCCTGTCTCAGTCTATCTATCTATCTATCTATCTATCTATCTATCTATCTATCTATCTATCTATCTAAGTTTGTGCATATCTGTCTATCTATCTTAAATTTAGTATAGCAATTCACTGACCTGTCCCCGCTCCGAGAAAACTGCTATATGTAAACCTATAATACATTTCATATGAATTTATTTTGGCCGACAATACAAGTAAAATTATAGGATTACTGAATAGAGATGTTGAAAGGGCGTATAGGGACGGTTTCATAATTGCATATCTATCTATCTATCTATCTATCTATCTATCTTTGGTGTTTTTTTTTAGTTGCTTGCCCAATATGACCTAAGTGCCGTTGAATGAGGTTCTTGTAAGGGTGCATGGGAAAGGAGACAAGATTGCTTGTTATGAGAATATGTAGGATAGATAAAGGCAGATTCTTGTTTTGGAGAGGGTAAAATTATAGGGACCAGCAGAACATCTGCTTCGAATGCTCTCCTCACCGCAGCAGTTCTGGGGAAGATGTCTGTGTGAGTGGAAATTAGCGTCCTCCCCAGTGGAATAGAACGGGAACGAAGATGAGTCGTTCAAGTGTAAGTGGCTCGGGGAGTCCCTATGTACGATGGTCGGGATTGGCGAAACCAAGGAATACAGTTCGGTCGATCATGTGCTTTGAAAATAGCGCTGGAACATTGAGAGTCTGTGAGAGAGGGGTTGAAGAGTGGAAAACTATTCATCACCCACAAGGTCGTGAAAATGACTTTGAATACGGTCGATGCTGGTAAGTGAGGAGTGGGCAGCACCGGTTCGGATGTGGTAGCGATGTTCCATTTCTGGTCTTGTACAGATAGAAAATGGGCGGAAGCTACGGCTAATTTCTGGAGCGGGAAATAGAGCCGACAAATGGTTTAGCTTGAAATGCGCTTTCAGACACGAAAAGACTCCTTAGGCGAAGCGGGACCTTACCAATTAGGCCACGGGAGACTCTCATGAAAATGCAAGGCTTAATTAACTACTTTTGGGGTTCCTTGCCAAAGTTAAACGATGCATGTTCATACAGTTACAAGTTAATATACTTGTTTGCTTAGTATTGATAAGTGCTGAGTACACACTGAGGAAGAGAAGACTTAGGCCAACAGAAAAAATAGTGCTACAGAAGGATGATGAGAATAATATAATCAGAGTATGTTAAAAACGAGGAGGTTTTACGGAAAATGGAAACAAACGGACGCATGCTTAGATTAAGAATAAAACTTACATTTCTGGAGACATATAATGAGAAAAGAAGGTTTAGAGATTTCACGAGAAACATTAAAGACAATATGGGTCGTGGGAGGCACCAGGCCACCTACCTGACCTAATGGATATTGAAACAGTGTGTAGAAAGGGTAGTAAAAAGAAAAAATATTGCTAATAGCTAGAAACGATAGCAAGTTGAGAAGAGCCACAATCCCCCACGTCGTTAAGGGACACGTCAGATGAAAAATGAAATCATTCTTCAGGATCCATCCCAAGTAATAATGCTGGCTGTGTGTGTGAGTGTGACTGTGCGCATTTTAGAGAGAGAGCACGTGGTTTCGTGTGTGCGGACAGAGGATAGACGATTCAGGCATACAGCGTTTCTTCAAAAATCGATATTCCTATGACAGTGGAGGCAAATATAGGCTGCATATCTTAAGTAATTGACTGACGTAGCGTCGGCTGACTGGATATAAATGCACCTCGAGAGTTTCAAGGAAGTTCATAGACGAACGATTGCAACAACTGCATGGAGACAGTGTAGGATTGCAGTCACGGCCTGCCTATTTATCTGTCAATCTTTCACATACACTTCACATTTATATATCTTCCAAACAACCTATCTGTCTGTCTGTCAGTCTATCGATTTATCAATGCACCTTAGTCCATGATCTTATACATAAATTATATATATATATATATATATATATATATATATATATATATATATATAGTGGGGGGGAATAAATATTCGTACACATGAAAATTGTATTTTTATAAATGTAAAAGCCTTAACTAAAACAAATTTTGATACATTTTATATGTAAATATGCATTTTATTAAAAAATAGTAATAAACTTAATTCTTATTCTAACAGAAATTAATGCATTTTTTTCATTTTAACTGATGAAAAAAGTATTCGTACAAAACAAAAAAAATATTTTAACTTAATTTCATACTTTGTGGAATATCCTTTATCGAGTTCAACAGCTACCAGTCTATTCCTGTACGTCTGAACTAATGATTTGCACACATGGAGTGGTATTTTGTCCCATTCTTCTTGGCATATTGTCTTCAAGTTCTTGATATTTGTTGGTGTTCTTTTCCCAATTTGAATTTTCAAGAATCGCCATAAATTCTCGATTGGGTTCAAGTCTGGGGACTGACTTGGCCATTACAAGACATCAACGTTACTTTCAGCTAACCATTTCCTTGTAGATCTAGCGGTATGCTTAGGATCATTATCCAGTTGGAAAACCCAATCAGGAGGTAGCCGAAATCTCTCAACAGAATACATTAAATTGTCTTGCAGGATTTTCTGGTATCTATCGGCATTCGTCTTGCCATCTATTATTGATATTCTGCCAACATCTTTTGCAGAAATACAGCCCCAGATCTTGATACTGCCACCATCAAATTTTACAGTTGGCAACGTGATCTTTGGTAAGTAGGCTTCACCGTCCTTCCTCCACACATGATTTCGATAATTATGACCAAACAACACTATTTTAGTTTCATCTGTCCATAGTACTTTTTTCCAAAACGAATATTCTTTATCCTTATGCTCTCTAAAGAATTTTAGCCTAGCATCTTTGTGTCGTTTCAAGAGGAGTGGAGTCTTCCTTGGGATGCGTGATTTCAGACTGTTTTTGTGTAGTCCATTACTTATTGTACGCTTGGTTACTTTAATCCCTAATGCGCGCAGATGTTCCTGCAGCTCTTCTCGGGTAACCTGTGGATTTTGTTGGATCTGGCGTCCCAATATCCTTGCTGATCTTAGAGAAATCTTCCTCGGAGCACCTGTTCGTCTTTGGTTTTCGACGCTGTTACGAGTTTTAAACCTTGCAATGAACGAAGCAATTGTAGTAAAAGGAATATTCAGGTTGCTAGAAATCGTTCTGTAATTGTTCCCATCTTTTCAAAGAGACAAAATGTGTTGTTATTGTGAAATAGTCTAATATTTACCTTTAGGCATTATTAGAACCTTCTCGTAAGACTAGAAATTGCAGAATGCTCTGATAATGGCTAATAGCGTTAACTATAATTACTGATGACATTACTGGAACAATTTTTTTTTTTTTAACATACAACGTGTGTTAGCACGTGCGATACCCTGTCTTCATCAGCCGCCGACCAGGGGTGATCTCACGGTTTCGGTGGCTATGGCGAGACCGCCACCCCTAGCGCCACCAGCAGCGTTTGCCACCAGGCAGGGTATGAAGATAAGCTAACTAATTGTTCCTTTAAGTAAAATCTTTCTGTAATGAAAGTTTCTTGAACGCGTTTGCTGTTATTGACGCGCTCGTAAAAGTCGTTATAAACGACCACGCAAATATTTCACTTGCGCATATTAGGTCGTGATGTTGCGCGCATTCTATTTGCTTGTTTTGATCTCGACCAAATCCAACTTGACGCGTGTTGAACAGTTTTTTGAAGGCGATGCGAAACGCTTTTCAACCAACGGCCAGTGATGCCTATTTTTGAAAGGAAGGAAATGACCGAATGTCCCAGGAACCCACGACACCCAATCTCAATAGGGCATCACGTGACACGTCCAACCATTTTCCATACACTCGGCACGCAGTGACTCGTACCGGTTTTTCTTTAGTTCGTGCGCCTCCACCCTGTTCTCTTCCCAAGGGACTGTTAGTTCTATTAGGAAGACAGTCTTTTTAGAGTCGGACCACAACACAATGTCGGGACGCTTGTCTGTCTGTGCGATGTGTATTGGAAATTTTAAGGATATCATTAGATCCACTAAAACCTTCCAATCACTGGCACCCCTCAGCAGCTTTATATTGGGGGCTGTTTGTTTTTTCTTTGCAGGGCATTCCCCTTCCTTATGGAATTCAATCTTAGTTTCCTTGGTTGCCACAAGCTGTTGATTTGCTGTCTCACATTGTGTTCTTATTAGATCCCTTATCACCTCTAATACCTTGTTGTGTCGCCACGTGTACATCTGGAGCGATTGTGGACAAGCAGAAAGCACATGACGCAAGGTACCTCGGTCTTTTTGACACGAAAAACAGAGATCTGTATCTGTGTATTCCCACATTTTGAGATTTGTTTCATTTGGGAGAAGATCGTATGTAGATCGAAGAAGGAAAGATATCGCCAATGGTTCCATCGCAATTAATGAATTCCACGAAAGTTTAACGGGCTCGATATCATTCCATGTTGTCCACTTACACTGTTTTGCTTGAGTAATAGCAGTACCTATTCTATGCTCCTCTTCGAATATTTTGATTTCTTCAACTACCATACGCCTTTTTCCCTTTGCATTCTCCTTGGAGAAGTATTTGTGTGTCGTGTTACCCAATCCAGCCCGATTTTTCTGAATCACGCCCATGATATCTCTGATTCGCAGGCTGGTTTCTGCTTCTTGTGTGGCCTCTGCAGCTGACCACTTTGTACCAGATTTAATCTCTGGATGCGCCTTCCGTATGAAATCATCAGCTGAGTCTCTCATCATCATATGAAGGCGTACCTTCCCAACCTTGAATTCCTCCAACAATGAATGTATAGGGAGCTGCAGATGTCCGGAGTTGGTATATAGGCCCACTTTCGAAAAACAACGTGGAACTCCAAGCCACTTACGCAAGTACTTATTGATCACTTGCTCAATTCGCTCAATACGAGATAATGCAATTTCATACATTTGCAGAGGCCACAAAAGGCGGGGTAATAGACCAGGTTGATAGTACAAGGCCTTCATTTTACCAGGCAAAAAGGTTCTATCGATCGAAATTAGACCCTTTAGAGTTGATTTATGAACCTCCGTACCCCGATGTCGATCAGTCAGTGGGATTGTATACAGCCGTCCGAGGCTCTTTACTGGCATTTCCTTAACTGTTGGTATCGTGTCATCAGTA